AACAAATAAACAAACAAACAAAAACCTCCACAAAAGACAAACCCAATAATAACACAGCCCCCCAAAGAATTTGCTTTGGCTCTTAGGAGGTGTACAAATTTTTCAAGTTTTCAAACACTTGCATTCAATTCCCTGATAATCATATTAATTTTYTTCCCCCACAGAAATAGTATCTTCAAAAAATTGTCTGGATTTGTGCCTTTAACTGCTTAATACCCTACATACTATTTTATTTTATTTTAATATTATTTCACTGAAGTGAATATGCCCAGGGTTATCAATGACTTTGATTTCCAGTGCTATRGACATGACACAGCTACTATCACATTCTAACTAAATAAATAGTGTCACTAAAAAAAACAGTGCTGCCACTGTAGAACAACTTGTACCTGTCATAATAATTATAACTATGAACGAGACAGAAACATTAAGTGGACACAAGCAGCAACTGCAGCTAAGTGTCAGCTGTTAAATGACAACCTAATGTATTAGTGAAGGCATGTTTGGGTGACATSACACAAGAGCGGTGACATACAAGAAATCAGACAGCTTGCCCTAACCTTAACTGCAAGCAGCTTTAGTCGTTAACCTGTCTCCTGTGCAATTACCAAGTTATAAAAAAAACAACTGTAACATTATAAAGGTGATCGAAATAACAGATTGAACGCTCAAGTGCCGCATAACATACACTTTGTGTACAAAGATTAAATTAGCCAATTATTACAAAGAGATGTAAATACTGATTTACTTAGAATGAATTGCTGAAATCCATATTTGGCACTTAAATAAACACACTCCTCTACAAATGATTCTGCTACTCCCTGTCCTGAATAGAAAAGGTATTAAAATTTGACTCTGAGATAGGCTGACACCACTGGGGTACTTTGCTGTAGTACCAGACTAAATACTCAGGAAAAACCCAGAAATCTGTCACTGTAGGGAGCCACCATGTGTGACAGACCGTCAGTGATAAAAGCCTTGGGCTTCTTACCCACACAGATCTTAGGCTTCTAGTGGGCACAGTCACCAAGAGAAACACTGCTCTCCTTAAATCTTACAGTGGCAAGARTTGATTGGGCTGCAGGACAAAGCTTTTTCAAACAATTGTTCAGATTTTCAACAGGAAAGGTGTGTGCTGGCCAGGCAGGCTTCAAAGACAATGTTAGAGGCTAAGCCTCAGCAGCTGAGTAATTAAACCATTAGGTGGAAGCATGGCCTGGCACAGAGCCAGCTGCCARCACTGCAGTTCAGTGGTACATTATCCTGCCTACTGTTTTCCAGTTTTGACCAGGCTTTCAGGTGCTGATTTATCCCTCCTCTTTCCTCCGAAGAGGAGGGAGGATCCCCCTTGCATATAACTTTTTGCACACTAGGTCTGTCCTTTCTCATACAACACTCATGCAGGGGATTATCCTGGACATGGACTCCTGGACTTCTTCACTGGAGCTGAGGATTCTGGAGGTGCTGCCCAAGTGCAGAATCTTTGCCCTGGAGGACACCTAAGTAAGCTTCACACACCTATGGCATTTCAGAAAGAAAAAAGACAAATTCCCCAAGATCATGCTATATTTCACCTTTTGAACTTGATCAAAGCTGTACAGCTGAGGCTGTACACATGCATGCAATAAAGGCAACATGGAATGGCTCAGTGTTGCTACTGGAACTCTTTTATTTTTATTGAAATCTGTTATTTTTATACCATGCATGAAATATAATTTTTGGAATTAAATACATTTAATTGTAAATAACAGATAAATTTAACAAGAGACATAAATACKACTAYTTCAGYRATTTATTGTAAATTCAACAAGTATTTAAAATATCTCKGAATTGGATTAATCTAATGACCACAGAATTCTTTAMATTCCATTGGTTTTTAGCAAAGACTTTAAAGAGCAATCTAAAATACTTGTTGGAACAATAATTACTATTAATGTCCATGGAGGCAATGCATCCTTTCATTGTTATTCAAATACTAACAAAAGAAAAATCGATTTTGTTTTAAAGCATACAATTAGTAACAGTAAAATTATCCTGCAATAATTTTAGACAATGTCAGGTCAGCTTCTGTAAACATATTAACAGCTGAGTATGTGTGTGTTGAGTCATATGTATAATTATTCCCAGAATGGCTGGCTTCCAGGAGTGTAGACTGAATCATGAATAATAACTCTTCACGTTAGGGGCATGCTATCGCCAGAACTACACTTCTATCCAGGCTGATGGCATAAATCATAACTGAATTAGGTAACGTCAAGGTGTTCTGCATACCACTTGAAAATTAAAAAAGAAACCAAAAATTCCTCATGATGATTTGTTTCCTTAGTTTTCATTTCCAAAACACCTTTTCTAGTAAATGCCCCTTGAACTGTATATTTGGCTTTAATAAAAGYAGATTCAAACACACAACTAGGTATTCACTAATGCTTTATGCTTCTGCAGGTGCACTGATGAAGAGAAGCCCAAAAATCCTTACTTTCTAAAAGAATTCTAGTATCKATTTCTCAGATCAGGCAATGGAAGTTTAAAATCTGTTTCTTAACGGAGAACTGGGTTTTGGCATTACTGCTGGAMGATAAAATTTTATATCTTGCAGTTAAGGCATTCTTATCATTAGCTTTATCTTTATAACCTACCTCTTAAAGGACTGTGTAATTTAAGTTGATAGGGGTATCTGAAAGCTCTCTTTATTGCCTGTAGTTCTTTCTGTAGTTTCAGTTTCATGGYTACAAAGAATATGATCTCTAACTACACTTCTGTTTTTGCTGCCCTGTTTTATCAGACAAACTGCAATTTTACACCTTGTTAAGGAAGCAAGGTGAGAAGAAAACCACATTATAGTGTTGACAAGGAAGATAAGACTATTATTTACCTTGACAATTCTGAGCAATAATATTCTTCATGTAACAGGATAAGAGATAAAGCATATCCTGCAGTGATAATGCACAAACTGAAAGGAACTTGCTTCCACATGCTATCAACACCAGTAATGAAACTGAGCTCTAGTGCAATAATCCTATATTTGAGCCTGTTCAGAATGGACTATTTGAGAAGAAAAGCAAGCCTTTAATTCGGTCAACTAAAGTAAACACATTTTATCTGTGTACTGCAGAGCATCATAGTCAATTTTTAAAGTGACTGAATGAAACAGGTTTGAAACATGTTTTTCTTCATTTTGTTTGTTTCACTTCCCTTGCTCTGACCTGCAGATAAAGGCCATCCGAACAGGGACAGCACAATATATACTAACGGTGGCTGTTCTGTGAAACTGTGTATCTGCAGAGGCTGCAAGAAGCCTTAGAAGTTTAATGTACTGAAAAATACTGTTTCACACCAGGATGTTCTTGACAACAAAGAACAACAGAGACAAGGAGGAATTAGCCACCGTCACTTCTTCCTTGGAGCAAAATGGCATAAACAAAGCTGGTAATGAAATTTTAGCCCATCGGAGGAAATTGARCATACCTTTAATAGACTATGATGTTCATATTCTGTGATGGTGACTGTTTAGAGAAATGCCTGTTTTAAATATAGAACAAAATGCATTAAAATATCACAAATTAAACTCATTGTCTCCAGAAAAAAGTAATTAAAGCTTATATCAATAATTTGATTTATTGTCATAATAATTTGTATTATGTGGTCATTTACCTTACCAGAATGTTCTTTAAATTGTGTCCAAACAACTTTAAAAAACCAGTGAGGCTCCCACAAATTCTCTGGGAGATTATTCCTTGTCTGCCACGTTGCTTTCCTCTTCTTCCCCTTCTCCCTACCTCAAATTCATCCTAGAATGTTCCTTTTATTCTTTTTGAAGCAGCTTTTAACTGAAAATTCCTCACAATTTTCCCCCAACCTCTCTTTATCAGACAGCCAGAGGGCGAGGTGTATTAATAGCAGCTGCATGACTCAGAGTTGGTAGCTCGGGTGGATCCTTTTGCACTGAGCTTTGCTGTTTGGCCTCCCTGCTTGGGCTGCCACTGAGCTCAGGGAGCATCTTCACTTTCTGACAAACAAAAATAAACTGAGAAAGCATAGTGGGGGCTGGGATTGCCTCAACCTCTCTGTCCTTCAGAAGGGTTCTCCTTACACCTACTTTCTTCTACATTCCCACTGGGACTGTAAATAAAACAAACAAACAAAAAAATTAACAAAAAAAAAGGGTCACTATCCCATCCATCACCAGCGTGTCTGTTTCAGACAACTGAGCGATGAAAGAAGAGCGAAGGCACACCTCTGCGATGAGATGCTGAGAGGAAGAGCGTCAGTGCTCTCCACTCAGACTGCGTTCCATGCTCTTTCCCTGAAGGCAACCCTGTTCTCATAAGCCGTCACAGCTCGACCCTCCCCAGTCCCTAGCACAGCACTCGCCGAACCTCGCTCCTGCTCGCCGCACCCCGGGGCTGGTGGCACTGCCACCTCCAAGCCAGCCTATGTGGCGAGACACCCGGTTCCCACCGCGCCTGGCAGCACACGCCCGCCGAAAAGGCGGCACTATTTCTGGCGGGGGTCCGGACMGGAAAAAACCCCACACCGCCAACTCCCCGTCCCTGCCTCAGGTCTATACTGGCGTTTTCCTTTCCCGCCCGCACTAACGGGAGAGCTCCTTCTTCTCATCCCCTGCTCACTGAAGCAAGCAGGGAGTTCCTGGAGGGGAGCTCGGCCGCTGGTGCAGCTGGCATAGGCTCACATAAGACGCGGGTTGCGAGGGGCCCCCGTCCACTGGCTCCGCCCGAGCGCACAGAGAGCCGCGGAGTCCCGGGCGGAGGGGTCGCCGCTTCAGAAGGCGGGTGGTCGCCACCTTCCCCTCACGGGAACTCCCGCTCCCGCCCCCGCCTGGAGCCGCGGTCCCCGAACCTTCCCCGCCCCTCTCGGAAGCCCCTCACGGGCACGCTCCCCAGCCACCGCCACCGGGCCCGCGCCCCTCCGGGCAGCGGCTTCGCGCCGAGCGCCGCGCATGCCCGCCCTCCCGCGCCGCGCCTGCGCAGTGCGTGCGCAGGAGCCACATCTGATAGGGGGGAAAATCCGAACGGCGGCGGCCGCCGCCATATTGCGGAGCTGTCACATCGCTTGCCGCGCTCCGCGCCGCATCCCCGGCGAGCAGCGCGGGGCGGCCCCGCAGCACCTCCTGCCCCGCGGTGAGGGGGCTGCGGGGGGGACACACCGCCCCGCCAGGAACSGAGAGCGCCGCGCCCCAAGCACCTTGTCCCGGGGGCTCGTTCCCCCCCCTCCTCCCGGTGCCGCGGAGGGAACGGAGTCCCAGGTGAGGCGGGGGCGTGGGGCGCCAGAGCGAGGGGAGCGCGGCCTGCTGCCGGCGGGGCCCCGGGGGAGCGGGGAGCAGCGCGGGGGCGGGAGCCTGAGGCGTGAGCCCGCCCGCAGCCCTCGTGGGCGGGGGGCACCGGGGACTTGTTGCGGCGGCGGGAGCGCGGCACCGCCTCCGCCGGGGACCGGGACCCGGCTCGCCAGCCGCCGGCTTGCCCCGCTGTGTTGGGGAGCCCCGGGAGCGCGCCCCCTGCGTGCCCGTGCAGCCTCCGCTGCATTATTCATGTCCCCGAGCGGCGCGGCTCGGGAGGTTTACACCATAGTAGACATGTGGCAGTCGGGTCGGGCCAGCTGATTGCGGCGGTGTAGGAGAATAATAAGGAATTACTTCATAAACAAGTGCTGTGGAGCATCTGTTGCTGTCTATTGTTTTCGACAAATGCGCGTTTTTAAGAGTCCTTAAATACTGGCCGACGTAATGGGCGCAGCGGCCCTGAATGAGCCTTTGTGCATTGTTTTTTTGAATGGATTAATGTTTTGTACAAGTCGTGGGCATTTGTAATTAACCTTGTTGCTTAAAGTTTAGCACAGATAAGGGGTTTTAGTTTCAACTTTTTGAAATTGACTTGTCTTTTGTCAGTTTCTTAATCTGAAAGCGAAAAAAAAAAATCTCTGGACTCTATGCCAACACAACTAATCACTTCAGTTTTAAGGTGCTATTAAGCTGTCTTTTCCAGTCTATGTAACAGTCTAGACAAGTATTTCACGTACTTCTTTCTGGTACAGCCTTTTTTAAAGATTCCATTTTTTAAACTGAGTTRCGGGAGTGGCAGTTCTAGGTAGTTCAGTTTCTGTACTGGCTCGTGTCGGGCTTAAGATGTATCCCTGTATGTCACTGTTTTGTTTCCATCGGAGATGTCTGTCGTCATATCTGTGCCACGGGAGCGTTTTGGGGATACGTGTGCCTGCACAGCACCTCGCACACTGAGAATATTGTACAAAAGCTGTCAGCTCTTAATGCGTTGGCACCGCGCTGCTGGGCAACGTGTGCTTCCAGGGAAGACGTGGAGTTGGTGTACAGTAACATTATGGCTACTGTGATAAAGTTGTTTTTTAATCATTAAAGATGGGACAAGTAGTAACTGTTTATTGGATTATAAGACTTAACTCCATTGATCTATTGATTTAGCCTAAGAGGGACTGTGAGAAAAATAAACTGCAAGTCAGTGCAATGTTCTCAGATAATCAGCCTCTCAGCAAATGGCAATTGCAAGGCAATGGCGTATTTCCAAGCTTTGTACTGAAGTGACACAGTTGTTCTATTAGGTTGGGAGACTGGGGATCAAAAGCAAAACCAACAGCTTTAGAAAGTGCATGAAAAAATGACATSGTGTGACATGTCTGGATCTGTCCAGAGAATTTTCATTGAGCATTGACTCAAAGAAAAGGTGTAAAAGTGTTTGTAGAGATGACAAAAAGAGTTCCGCTCTGACTTTTTTTGCCATTGCGGTAGAGAGCATTGCAGGGCTTGATGGTAATAGTACTGCTAGAAAAAGGCTGTTTCACAGAAAATTGGGTAAAGCTGTAAAGAGAGTTTTGGATCCACCTACGGGCTGCAAAACTGGGGGGGTAAGGCGTGTGGACTTTATGACGTTAGAAGGCTTCTTGGCAGAGTTCCTTTAGCCTTTGTCAGGATAGGTAAACGGCCTTTCTTTTTCAGCAACCTTTCCGTGCTTTTTGAGAAGGGGTGCCTCTGTTAGCAGAGGTGAAGAGGAAGGTTGTTGAAGTCTTTCTGCTGGATGTGTTAAATACATCAAAGTCATCCTATCACTTTGCATTGCATTAGAAGTCTGTGGGAGTAGAGGAACGGGAGGATTTTCAAGTTTGTAAATGTAAACAAAGCTTTATACAAACTTCTGAAGAAAGAACTGATTGTGGAAAGATACTGATCCATTAAAGCAGCACCCAGTGTAGTCTGCGTGCTAAGTAAGTTTACTCCAAAGTTGAAGGAGCCTAGGTAAATTTGTTCCTTTCAACACTGAAGATCTGCATTTGTTGGCTAACTTTATCAATCGGCTAATACTTAGCTGTACTTTAAATTTGAAGGGTTTTTTTTTGTTTCTGCTTTAGACATTTATTAATCACTCAGTGAAATGAAACTTTCAAGTCATGTAGTACAAAGGGAAAGAAATATGACACTGGCCCAAAAAGGGGGTTAATAATCTTTACACTAGAACATTTCAACTGAAGAACTCTAGCTAGTGTATATTGCAAATGGTCTGAGTAGCCAGTTCATATTCATAAGTTTCCTTTATTTTACGGAACTGGTTGTGAGACATTTAACAGCATAATTCAGAAAATGGAATACTTGTCTTTGAGATGAGGTGTACCCAAAATTCTGTGTATGTGTCCTATTTCTTTGTTAAYTGTATGTTTAGAGAAAGGATTATTGCACTTGGAAGCAATAGTACTTCTATCAGTTTATATTAATGATTTCCATTTTTGATGGAAATRCATCTTATGTACATAGTAAGGTTGGACGTCGTAGGACTCTTCAGAATCTTAGAATTATTTCCCATTGTGCAGTTGTGGGTACTTGAAGTTAAAGTTACTAAACTCAATAAATATTAACTGTATGTAAATTGTGTAGCACATTTAAAACATATCAATTTATTAACTGAAAAACTCAGATAGTGCCCAAATGTTCTTTGACTGGTTGCTTTTAGTTGAATATTATGTTGGCAACCGCCAAGTTTTCATTTTACTTCGGAAGTTTGCAGGAACTCCAGTTTAAAAGAAGTACTTCATTCTTCAAAATGTATTTTTTTATAGATAGGTTGAATACATAAGTTGTACTAKTTATATTGCAGTTATTTTTCAGAGACAGCAAGCCTGTTTTGGRTGATTCACAGAAGGGAGGGTTGGGGAAAATGGTGGTTTTAAGAAGTGAAAGATACTGTACTTAAAAAAATGTAAAACTTGGCATGTGCTATCTAGCACTGGTCAAATCTCATTTTTTGCATATTAGGTGTAGAATTCAGCTCTTTTTTTTTTTTTCTACTTTTCTTTCCTGTGAGATAAATGGCTTTAGTTCCCCACCTGGTTTGCTTATATTGCAGACAACTGTGTGGGTGGTCTCTGTCGGTCTGAAAAAGATGCATGCAGAAGTGAAGTCTGTGGCAAATGAACTTTATTTGATTGCAGCAAGTGTGTCATTAGGGAGCTRTTAGTGTGAAAGATGATTGCCCTGCAGACATTCACAGACTGCTTTGGAGTAGAGAGACGTTTTTGTAGAAATGTGAGACCAGTTAGTCAGGTACACAGGCATTTGAGTGCCTATTGCTTCCCCATCAAAGATCTAAAACTTTCAGGTACCACAAAAAATGGAATGGTGTAAGACTTTGAAAAAATACATGAATTTTGAATAAGTTTCTGTTAATAAATGAGTGAGTTATATTGCTGTGGGTAAAGCTCTGTGGTCCCTGACATCTATCTGTATTTAGGGAAATACAGTAAACCTCTTGCTCGAGCTTAGAAGGGATGGTACTGGAGAGACTGCTTCTGAGAGAGGGTTCTGAGCTGTCAGATAGGGATCCAGCTTTTGAGTGATGCTTCTTTACCAGCCAAGCATCCTGCTCRAGCCTTCTGCCTGCTATCCCATCCTAACCTGACCTCAGACCCATGGCTCTGTGTATGAATGTTTCTTTTGAAAACAGCTGCTGCATAAATTATCTGACAGAATTTTGGCATCAGGCATTTTATGCACCATCATTTTCTGAAGAAAGCTTTCATTGTCATCTTTCAACAATTGCTTTATTTTTTGCTTTCTGTGGCGTAACTAGAAACACGGATGATACTGATTTAAAAATCTTAACTGCTTTGTAGTGTAATGAATTGAAATCACAGCTTTTCATTTCAAGAGAGTTCTTGATGTTCTGGATGGCTTTTTTGTCTGTTCGTGATGTGGAGCCTGCTGATGCTTTTATTTTTTTGGTCCAGAGTCCAGATTACTGCATACGCTCCTGAAGGTCCTGCGTTGTAGCAGTAGGAAGTCTGCRAAGTCACAACAGTGTTAATCTTGACTTGGAAAAGGCACCTTTAGGATTTTAAATGCCCAGGTGATGAGCCTTTATGCCATCACTAGTAGGTCACAAGCTGGTTTTAAGTAGGAAGCAAAAGGAATATCATTCCCAATCCCAGTTGACTGGGGTCTTTTTTTGCTGTTGGGGTTTTTTTCCACTATTTGCAATGCCATTTCCCATGACTGTTAAGATAAAAGTAAATATAAGTCTTTAGTTTGTTCAGAGCTAGAAATTTTGCATCTGCTAAATATAAATTTATCTGAAATTGCATTAGTAGCAGAAGTGAACTGCCACTACTGGAATAATAGTGGAGATACACAATATTTTTTCCTAGCTGCAATTTTTGGTTTCTTTTGGCCCAGTGTTTTCCTTCTATTTGTTTTGTTTTTAATGTTAGCTAGTGCTAATAATTGGGAAAGATAGGGTAATTTTTGTTTTTTACTTAGTGCTTATTTGATGTCAGTGTTTGCAGTTTTAAGATCTGTGAACTTCTGGTTTGTATGTACATATAATAGTTACAATGTGTTTTTRTGAATGCACAGCATTTTGAATCTGAAAGAATATAGACAGGCTGTTTTTGATATTATATATAAAATTAAAACAGTGTAATTAAGTTCAGCATAGTTGCCTATAAATTTTTTTTTGGCTAATTTTTTTTTTTCGTGTTCTTTTTTAGAAGAAATTATGGATTTTAATTTTTTTTACTTTAGTTAAAGATATTGCAACAAATACTTCCAAAAAATATGTGGGTTGCTGTTTGTTTTGCACAGGTTTTTTTTTTTTTTCCTATTGCTCACATATTGTGATAATTTCTCAGGCCCATGAGATCTGTGGGACTAATAGTGAGATTTCATTTTTATTGTGTTTTGCATAAGAGGATTCTTGATTTTTGCTGATAATTTTTTTCCTCTTGCATGTGAAAACCTGTCTCCCAGTTGAGGTTTAATGAGATGGGATTAACCTATAGAACTCTGTAGTCACGTTTCTGATTTAAAAGTTGCCTTAAGGTTTTAAAGTACATTTTCAAATAAACAATCTATGTTTTTTTGATAGTGTTAAATAGCAAAATGTTCGAGTAAATCCCAAAGCAGAAATCTGGGACATGTTTATGAATGAATTTSTAGTGATAAAATATATGAGGGTATGATGATCATTGTAGAAATTGATAAATGTGTTGTCTCTTAGAAAGACCTCAGAAAGTGATCATTTGATAACACAGATCTTGGTCCTGTGCCATATGCTGTCATTGCTCTCCTGGAGACTGGACTCCCTTATCAGKCATCTTACCATACCCCTTCTTTTCAATGCTGTGTAACTAAAGGCTCAGGAAAGTAGTTGTGCTACTTTCTATTCCTTTTGGTACTGTCGAGTTGGCATGCTTACAAAATGGTGGATGAGAATCTAATTTAGCTTTTGCATYGTTAATTAACTAAGTGCAACTCTAAGGCGTCAATCTGCCTTCAGTTTTTCAAGCATTGAGCCTCTGCTGTCAGAGGTGAGCACRAGGATTACTACAGCTTGGAATCCTGCTAACTGTTACCAGATATTAGAATCGAGCTTGTTTTGGTTTCTATTATTCTCTGATTTTTTCTAAGGAGCCCATTAGGAAAAGGGAGGAGTCAGTCTCTTGTCTGAAAGTGAAAGGTGCAGTTGAATTTTTATCAAAAGACAGAGTTTATCAAAAGCCAATTTTATTTCTTCCTCCCCTGGAAATTTTTATGGTTAAAAATAGGGGGGGAGAGGAATAGAAGAAAAGTGTRTTCATAATGTTCAATGATACATTTAGCAGTATCTTAGAATAGTAGTCTTACTTCTGATGTCCAGGTGTTAGAAGGATAAATGCCTTGTCTGTAGAATTGCCTTGATAAGGTTTATGGCTTGATACTCCTCAGCCATTTCAAACCCAAGGGGAAGTTAGTAATATTTGGGAAGAAGGATGTTCCATTGATAGTGGGCTCAGGGAATGCAGAATTCACCAGCCACAAGGACGTTTAGCAGAACTCCCWAGATAAGGAAGAAACAAACAAAGCCAGGCTCAGCAACTGTGCTGAATCAGYTTAAGTGGAGAAAAGCTMATTCGGGTGGGGGCAGACTGTGACCATAACTCGGGGCCCACCGACTCCTGAAGCCAGCCCAAGTCAAGAGGGGAATGGCTGAGCATGTGGACTGATTGGCAGAAGTGAGAGAATCATTTAACCAGAAGAAGGTAGAATGTTAATCAGTAAGAGAGCTATGTAACCTGTAGCCASTAAACTGATTTCTTTGTTTGCCGAAATGTATGAAAGGTGTAAAGTTTTGATGGTTGGAGTGCCAGCCTTTGGTGGGTTCCCATCCAGCACCCTGCTCTRTGCAGACCAGAATAAAGAAATGGAAATGCCTTGGCTCAGTGTGTAAATTGGTACTGTACATTCGGCAGCAAGYCCACATTTGGGACATGACTGATACTGTCCAGTTCTCTAGGGAATCTTCTGTTATTAAAAAAAATCTMCTGGAATGTAATTGTCTTTATTTTAGGTAAACAAGRGTATCATACCTTTAGAGTTGCACTGTATTAGTTGTATCATAATGAATATAGCTTCAAGATAATGTTTTAATGTTTTTAGGCTGATTTTTTGTTAAACACAGTTTTGTTCCATATCTGAATTACGCAGTTAGATCTTTTTTTCTGTAATCTTTAGTCTTAACATTTGTTTKCTTTACCAGCCAACAACATTTATGCTTCTTAAATTCTGTTTTCATTCTTTATCTGCTTTTTTCAGTTTCTCTTTTCGAGCATATCTCTGCAGATAAGAAGAAATAAAGTGCTAGTGCACCTTAAATTGCTGTGCAAATGTTTCTAATATTTACTGTACTTTTATTGCCAAGAAGCAAGAAAAATTAATTTATTTTATAATTTTTATATAAAATATTTTTTTTTCATTTTTTCTTTAAGAATGAATGATCATTTACACAAAAGTTTGTTTTTAATAACTGGATTGCTCTCAAGTATTCTGTTTTTCTCTCTTTTTTTTCTTTTAAGCACTTCTGAAGATTTTATTTATCTGTTGCAGCTGTGGAGTTATAATACTGGAATCTCAGATTATTCTGACTAGCATGCCACATTTATTTTTCTTGGTACAAGTGTAATTCTAGTTGATGTAATTTTTGAAGGCAATGCAATCCTTGATGCTCTTTGCAAACCAGCAACAGAGGTCTGATTTGTAGAAGTCATTACTGTAAATGTGTGCAGGAAGGTGACTAGCTGCTTGCTCTTCCTGAGTTAGAAGGGATTGAAAAGGAGGTAGGATGATATCTACCAATAACATTGCAAGCTTATTTTCTCAAGGAATAAAATCTTTTGGAATAGAACACTGTGGTATTCACTACCACAGTGAATACTTTCATTACCATGTAGATATAACTTATAGTCTTCTCCTTAAAAAAAATGGAAAAAGCTATTATTTTAAGCCAAGCAGATTTTCTTCCTTTTTTTACAGTGTTGGTGTACTTGCATTTCTTTTCATTTGGGAAAAATGACTATCATTCCTTTGCTGAGAGAAATGAAGGATTTTATAGACAGGAAATACAGTTTTGATGCTTTAAAATTACGTTAAGAGGGTTTTCTTTTGTCTTCATGATGTTTCTTGTAAATAATCTTAACAAGTTTTTAATAGTAGGCAATGTAAGATAACAGAACCTTTAAAATAATTTGTAGCCCTTGAGGAACTGTTGTCTTTTTATTGTAACATTAGTGCGTGTTCTACAAAACTAGGAAGGATGTTACTGCTTAGAGACCTGTAGATTCTGGAACTGACTAAATTAGTTGCTCTGTGTGTCATCTACTGAAAAGTGTATTTTGTCCATGTGTAGCACGGGCTTGCATGTTTTGGAATTTGTACTGTTTGCTATGATGTATGTGAACTCAGTTTTGATTAATTTAAAAATAACTATTTTAATTTTGKTTTTGGCAGAAGGGGGTGAAGAGTTTTTGGAAGATTTAACGGGACAGGAGACTACTGAAAACAAGAAAAATGCCGAAACCAGTAAGTAGCAGGTTTACATTAAAATAAAATCTAGGAAGGTTTTTACATTTTAGAGGGATAATCTTGTAATCTGTAACTTGTTTTGACTCTGCCCTTTCTAGATTTCATAAGATTTGATCATGTACAATTGAAGTTGAGACAGTTTAGTACCAGCATGTGGAGAAAAAGATCGAGAAAGCTTGGTACTGCAAGTTGCATGGAGGACAATTGGAAATGAGAGCAGTACTTGGAACTCATTTGGCTGGCAGGAGGAATGTCTTTCCAGGAATTGTTGTCTTYGAGATGAGCTGACTTGCAGTGGTTAATGGAGGCATAATTTGAGTCTGACTCTGTGTGTGTGAGAATCAGTGGAAGAGTTTGCTGAAGGATTTAGCAAGGGGAGACAGAACATGTGTAAAGTGTCTGCAGTAAGCTAGGTGGTAGAGGATATCATATGGAAAGTAAGATGTGAAGGGAGAAAATAAGCAGTATTTGTGGTCTCCTGTTCCTCTCACTTCAGCTAAGAGTTCATCCTCTTTCTGTTGGGGGGAAAAAATCTCCAACTTCTGTTTGATAATAATTCTATCAGTATTCAAAGAGATAATTATTCAGTAGGTTGATAATTTTTCTGTTCAAGTAATACTGCTCTTTTAGGATTTCATCTGCCATGTGTTAAATGACTTTTGCTTGTCTCTTCCACTTGTRTCCAGTGAGCAAAGCAGAAAAGAAAGGGAACTGAATTGTCAGATTATTTCTATTCAACTCAGTTGGTTTATGTAATAGCCTTCAGGCTTTCTTTGTTTACTGATGTTTCGTTTTGGTATCAGGTTAGGAGCAGGGAGGGTCGATTGCTAAGAAATGTGTCTGTGTGCATGTGTGTACATACATACATCCCTATACATAGATGTATAAAAAGTTTTTTGCTATTAATTAGAAATTACCTGTGTAAATAATCTGTGTTGTGTGCCAGTGTTTGGAACTGGTACAGCTCGATTAATAATGTGAGCATGGGACTAAGGGCTGGAAGTTGTGTTCTGAGCTTTGCAGTTGGTCTGATGACCAACTGGCCATGCCTTGTTTCTATAATTTCTTCTTTTCCTGCCAGTGGATTARGGGCAGTATCTTGGCATTTTCTGCAGCTGCAAGTAGCCATCTATCCTGCTCGCTTGTGCCAGAAAGCTGTGCTATAAAGGGCAGGGAAATGAATTAGTAGCATACTGTTTTCTGACCTGTTGGAGTGCTGGTTATGAGAATTGAGTAGTGCCTTTGATAGGGTTGGAAAACCRTGTTTTAACAATGAGGCAGGAAGTCACTGTGAGCTTGTGCAGTTTCTGAGGCCTTCAGCTCTGTGCAGCTGGAGAGCCATGAAGCCACAGAGGTGGTGAGTAGAAAAAAAAAAAGCCTCAGTGAGGTAACTGTTTTTAAAATTCTGGGATTAGAGCCATGAAATCTAGGCAGGCAGAATTCTCTCTATTTTAAGGACCAGAGAAAATTGAAGGAAATAAGAATTTTAGGGTTGTTCAAAGGAAGGCAATATCCCTAGAACTGAGATTGCAGTGGTATTGAAAGAGATCACAATCCACCCTAATAATGGATATTAACTACCAGATCTGATGAAAGAAGCRGGCTTTGTGCCAGAGATAATTTTTTTTTCTTTTATAAATGACTTTTTATTAAGAATTCTTGTGTCTCTTGATGGTTTAGGTGTGTGTGAGGTCCTAGAAAGARGCCAAGTGAAAGGAGCCATTAAAAATGAAATTAAATTGATTACATTTCTCAATGTCTTCCTGTAAACTGCAGATTGCTGTAATTATAGTTGGTAATCAGTGAATGAAGTAGTACACTTGTCAAAGGTTAAGTAGTATTACCTATAAAAATCAAACCTCAGGTTTTGTTCTGGTTGCTTCTTAAATGATAAATGGCTTTGGAGCTCTCTTCTCCCCTCCCCATCCTTTTTTTTTTTCCTTCTTTCTTCTTTGGAGACTGTGAGAGTCTAGCCACCGTTATGTTTGATGAATCTGACGATRTTCTTTGAAGAGTCTTGCTGTTCTGCTCAATTTGATAGTACTGGACAGTAGGAAGTCTCTTGCTATGGATATTTACTGTAGCTCTTGTAAGTTGTCTTTATGGGCAATTCACAATAACCAAATGTACTTCTAGTCTGGACACTTTGTTGCTCATTTTTGACAGCTGTTGCAATAAGATAATCAGTGTTCTGTAGCTTTATTACTGGAAATAATTTAAYCTGAAAACAAATCAAATTATCATGGGTAAGAGCTAAGAAAACCCAGTGAACATAACTGGTGAGATTTTTGACAGTATTATTTTATCTTTCTTCTGTATTACTGTGACCTGTTTATGTTTTCTTTTTTTTCAGACTGCTGTAATGATCCAATTGATAGTTTTCAGAAAAGTCTGGTAGTCTTGTAAATATGTAAACTTGTATACTACAGCTATAAGTAAATTCTTCATGTGTTTTTGGGATGATTTTTGTTGTTTAGAAAATAACATATAAATAAGCCATAGATCAGTTAAAGTTAAATCAGTTTACACTAAACCACAAAAAAGGGCAGTTAAATAGATTTTGGGTTCACTTATTTGCTTTCATATTGAAAAGTTATGTAGTATTCCAGACAAAATTGGGTAAGTGAAGAASAGTAGATGGTCTTGGCATATTGAAATTTTATAGCAAAGATCTTTTTCCTGGAAGTCTCAGTTTGAATTAAGTTTCATGCCACTGTGAATGATTCTTATACATGGTAGTAAAAGTTCATAGTGCCTTTGATAGAGCTGGGATTTTCTATCTTAGAGGCTAGTAGGTTAAATAGCTTGGGTGAAAAGGCTGTTTTGAAAGGGCAAAAACGACTCAAGTATATATGTATCTGAAAAATATACACAGTTGAAACATTTTCTTGTTTGATTGCTTCAGTAGAAAGTCTGTTCCTTCTCTTTGGCTGGATTTCTAACAAAGTGGCTTTCCAGGTTTTCAAGCTGTTACTCAGCATCTACTCTACTTTTAAAACCAAGTAGTTTGGTTTTAAAAGAAATTTACTATTCTCAGTTCTACCTAGCAATGCGAATTTAAGTTTCATTTAGCATGTTGTGATCCATCTACATAAAAATTATGACTTTGTTTAATTACATCTTTGCTGCTGTAATCAAAATTTGAGGTGTTAATGGGGCTATTTTCAGTGTGCTTAATTCTTGGCTTGCTGAAGAACAGAGTATTTGTTGACTCTTATTTCCAATGCTTTCTTCCTAAAAGAATGGATGCAAAATGTTTCTCAGCTGTATGGCATTCTCACAGATCTGCACTGAAAATAGAAACATAGAAGCTAAAATTAGACATCATGCATTACATAACTGCTAATCATTTCATAGGCTGAGAAGATTAGATTTAATTTACTGAAATATTAGTTGCATTTATAGGGTGTAGAAGGAGTTAAATTGTCATCTGGTTTTCATGATAGTTTGCAGCACTTTTGTACAAGACATAAAAGAAAGCAAGCATTACACTGGGGAATAACAGATGTCAAAGTTTATAAGATTAAAAAGGATTTTTTTTAGGTTTATTTAGCATTTTGTGATACTGTGTATACAGAAGGAGTAAATAACAGATTCTGGAATAATATGGTTGTTTAAAAATCTCATATTTGCAAAATCAAACTAATTTCTGTAAAGTGGTTGGATTGAAATAGTTTATAAATATATTTTTTACTACAGTGTTGTTATACAGGAAAATCTTTGAGTCTGTGTAATGCAGTATTTGAATTGGGGCTTGAATTTCTGATTTATTTCTGTAGTATAAATAGACAACTGATGTCTATTTTGATTTATCTATTACTAAAATCTGTTTGATGTTCTGTAGCCTACTGTTCCTAATGCTGTTTAATCCTTACCTTTTTACCTTCTTCATAAAGTTTTTTCTTTCATCTCTTCCTATATGTACTTTGACATTGGTATGGAGAGAGTGCTGTGTGTATTTGTGCAGTCTGTAAAGCAGTGGGACTTATATACTGCTGTTCTTAATGCAATTTGTTATGCGAACTTGAGATAGTAAATGGCTGAACCAGTGTGAGGAATCTCTATGAACAAACTTTTTTTTTCTCTATGCGATTTTCTTAAGAATCAGACTGCTTTTTGTGGCTTTTACATTTATTAAACCAAAGCAAAACTTCTGGAAACCATTTCCATGTTATTTTAAATGGCTTTCTTTCTCAGTGTAGATACCAACTCAGTTTTGAAGTTCCTGATGAAAGCTGAAGTGCCATAACTAATATCTGCAAATGATRGCTGAAGTACAGTAATAGAAAGTGTTAGATTATTAAGCTTACAGACAGGTTTTGTGCATGTTCCACGGACTGTATCTGTTTGAGGAGAGGTTCAAAGGTTAATGTGGTGACAGTCTAATATTCCCTTAAATTGTGGAGGGTTGAAGTTAGCTGCTAGAAGAAAGTGTAGAAATACTTTTGCAAGTCCTTAAAGGAGAAAGAATGCAATAAAAATACAATTCTCTTRTGAAGCACATGCTTTTATTAAGTGCACATTGATGTTTGCTGTTCCAGATATGTTAATTCACTGTACTCCTTATTGGTTTTGATGAATTATTTAACAAATAATTTGCTGTAAGATATTTTTTATGAATACTGTTTTGTGAGCTGTGTGCAAATATCCTCATAACCCATTATCAACATTTGTTATCAAAACATCAATTGCTCCCTTCACTAAGAATAATCAATGTGTAGTTCTTTAGTGTGTGTTCTTCTCTTTCCTTTGGCAGTGTTTAATCATTCTGTAGTAAGTCTGGTAAAATACAGATAAACTCAGACTCCTGCTGATGCTAAGGATCTGGACAAGCTTGAGAAGTGGGCCAATGTGAACGTTGTGAAGTTCAGCAAGACCAAGTACAAGGTGTTGCAGCTTGGCTGTGGCATCCCCCAGTGTCAGCACAGGCTGGGGGATGAAAGATTGAGAGCAGCCCTGCAGAGAAGGACTTGGAGCTGTGCGTGGATGAGAGCCTACCCATGACCCAGCAATGTGGACTCACAGCCCAGAAAGCCAAATATGTCCTGGGCCGCATCCAAAGTAACATGGGCAGCAGGGCAAAAGAGGGGACTCTGCTCCGCTCTGGTGAGACCCCACCTGCAGTGCTGCATCCAGATCTATAATCCCCCCAAGGACACAGTGTTGTTGAAACAGGTCGAGAGGAGGATCACAAAAATGGTTCTCAGAATGGAGCATCCCTCCTCTGAGGAGAGGCTAGGAGTCGGGGTTGTTCAGCCTGGGGAAGAGAAAGATGTGGGGAACCCTTACTGTGACATTTGGTGCTTAAAGGGGACTTAAAGATGGAGACAAACTTTTTATCAGGGTGTGTTGCAATAGGACAAGGATAATGGTTTCAAATTAAAAGGATATAGATGCAAACYAGATATAAGTAGGAAAATGTTTATTTTATGGGAGGTGAAACACTAGCAATTGCCCAGAGAATGGTTMATGCCCTATCTTTGGAAACCATTCAAGGTCAGGTTGAATGGGTCTCTGGACCTGATGTAGYAGAAGATGTCCCTGCTCATTGCAGGTGTATTGAACTAGTTGACCTTTAAAGATCCCTTCCAAGCCAAMCTATTCYGCGATTYTATTTAATATGCAAACTTGAGATAATAATTGGCTGAAGTAATGTGAAGAAGARACCTGTCAGAATCTGTTACAAAGATGTGGGATCCTGGTGAGAGCAAGTTTGAAAAGCAGGCATTGAATGGATCTTGTGGTATGTGTAGTGGTCTTCCAACACTTGCTACAGGAAGCCTTTATACATTTCTCTTGTCACCATTGCACAAGTTCCTTCCTGTTTTTGTATTTGTGTGGTAAAGTTGGTTCAGATTAGTGCTTGTCTTCGTAATTTGTGGTTCAGATAATTTCCCCTGTTACCAATATCATATAAAGAGAATTTCTTCAAAAGTAGCTGGATACTTGACAGCAGGTTACATAAGTGACAGAGCTTTGCTGAAGTTTCTGGACCTTCTTTGTCTGCCTGTGTTTTCTCAGTTCCTTACCTTATTTATAATATGGAAACTSCCCCATGACTCTTGTTAATGTATTTTGCTAGCTTTATTTTGCAGACAATGCAACCGATACCAGAGGTTTGATTTTTGTTGAGAGGGTGCCCTGTGATCAGGACTTGAATTAGATAAGTAGACTTTAAGGCTCTGCAGATTTTGACAAAAGTGAAGTTTTCCATGCCCAGATATAATTGAACTTGCGAAACAATGTTACAAGTTTGTAGAAGCCTGATATTTGTAKGCCAAAAATCTGTCAGTCCAAATGCCTTCAAAAAGAAAAAAAATTGTGTTAACTTTGTAAGTCTCTTCTTAAACAGTTCCTATCACAAAAGGTAACTTTTTATATTGCTGGCATTCARTTTGCTGCTTTCTTATTAGAACTGAATGCATAAATGTTAATTAGCAGTTGAGGGATCTGTTAATTGGAAGTTCAAAGATAAACAGAAATGCTACAGTCTTAAGTGGTTGCTGTAATGTGCGTAAGTGGCTAGGTACTCTTAATGCCTATTTGTACCTAATGCAGGTGTAGAAGCTGTGTACTCTTAGAGCACTGAGATTTTTTTTTTTACACTAACATCCACAAGCAAACAGAATTTAGAGTTTTATTGAGTTTGCCTCTGTATTACAGCTATTATTTTACTGTTTAGGTATTCTAATTCTTGTGAACAATAAACCCTCAGGAAGTAATTCTTGCATTTGTAGAAGATGACATTTGTTGTAAGGATATTTATATAAGAAATTTCTGCTGCCTGCTGCTGCAATTAGTTGAACTTGCTSTGCTTTGTAGATCTTCTGTGAGGCTTCTTGTTTTGGCAATGGTGCTGTTATATAACGGAGCACTTTGGCATTTAATAAAATTATTCTTGGGAACATCTTACTTGTAACTGCCCTAAAGAASACTTCTTTTTTAAATAGAAAAACTGTTAAAAAAAATTAGTTTTTGTAATTAAGGGGCAATCCCTCATGCTTCAGCTAGCGCAACTGGCAGTGAGTTAGACCTGTCATTTAAAATTAGTTATTTTTTTAGAGGAGTTCTGTTCTACGAGGGATTTTTTTCCTTCTCTTGAAATGGACAGACCGAGAGATCTACAGAAAGCATCTTTTTCCCTTTTCCTGACACACGCCCTCTATTTTTTTATTTATTTTTTTTTGCAATAAAACTAAACTGTCTTTTACTCCAAAGTCTTTGGCTCTTGTTCTTTATCAGTATTTGCACACACAGTAAAGTTGGATAAACCCCTTCTATCGTTCTTGTTTGCAAGTCTATAACCCAGAGGTCCTCAGACTCCTGCTACTCTTGTATATTGCTCTCGTGCTCAAAGTTGTTTATCTTGATCCTAAGGSGAGCAGTGAACAAGCTTTATCTGTTGCATGAGGACAAACTGCTCTGCATTTTTCTTCCCCCTGCTTAGATCTCCCTTCCATGTTTTGTTGTCTTCTTTTCCAGACACTCACTTCCCAAAGTATTCCACCTGGTGGCAAAATTAGGGAAACAGTTAATGGATGGAAATGGTTTGCACATACATAGRTCAAGTAGTGTGAGAACCTGTAATACAAGTCCTAATTTATTCCTGTTCCCTTTTTTACAGTAGAGAGAAATTAGAATATATCTGYGTGAGTTTGGTTTTTGCATTTATAAGAAARTATATTTGACCTTTGACACTTTATATTCCTAAGCACTAAAGATAAATAAAATGTGATACCCTGGGAGTAGGAGTGGAAGACCATTCTAACACTGAGAAGACAGTGCTGTGCATTTAAAACTTTGTTCTGTTTTGTGGAAATTCTCACTTTTGTATGTACCAGCTGAAGAGAAATTGGAAAAGACTTGTACTTCCAAGTAAAGCTTCCAGTTACCTCCTGCAACATTTGACTTCTTGTTTTATCACAAATAACCCAGTGRTTGTCAGGAATCATCTGGAAAATGGTACTCCCTTTCGGGAGAAGCAAATTCATTGAATGATGGAGACTTTTTAGTCTTGTAATAAAGGAGTTGAAAGAGGTTAGTACTAAGGAGCGCTAACTTCTGTAGTTTTTCTTCCCATTGATGAAAACCTGTTACAAGTCTGCCTTGAGATGTACCAGCTCTAGTCCTAAATACTTTGGCCACCAAACTGCTTAATTTTAGAAATGGCAAGTAGGAGCCTGCTTGTCTTTCTATATTGCTRGGCATAAATACCTTAAAATTAAATGTATGTGACCAAGAACTTCTGCATGTGTTTGGGAAGCYTCTAAAAGATACTGCCCAGTAGCTGAATGTCCCGATATTCTTCAGCTGTTCAGTAGTGATGTCAGCTATGCCATTAGATTAATTTTGTTCTCTACAGCCTACTGGTAAATGCTATCCAGTTTATGCTTTTAGACTAAAYGAAAGTGAGAATTTTTTCAGATTCAAATTTTCTGTTTTTCTTACTTCTGTGTTCAGTGCGTACACAAGACCATTACAGTTGTTGAACATGATTTTTCTTACAGGCTAATCACATGATACAGAAGTATTATATTGTTACAGTATGATTTAATTTCYTTGTTTTCTGTAGATCAATGTCAGAGTAACCACAATGGATGCAGAGTTGGAATTTGCCATCCAGCCCAATACAACAGGCAAGCAGCTCTTTGATCAGGTAATTTAAATGTCTCTACGTATATATAGTATACACACATAAGAGTATTGTGATTATTAAGGCATAGTATGAAAAAGTGATAGTGTTCTCATGTACAGGATGTTTTTTCTTAGCTATCTAAGCTATGCTCTGAGTTAGTGTGAGTTAGTCATTACTTCTAATGGAACATAGTGAAGTTAAAGACTGCTTTGTAAATATGTTACCAGTGAGACTTCAGATGCTTTGAAATTAGTTGTGGTTTTTATGTCTAATAATATTATAGTTACTGCTGCATATATTAGAAATATTTATGTAACAGTAAGTTCATTAATGGAAGCTAACACAATTGTTTTCCAGCAATGGACACTGTAAGATGGCTTCTCACTTCCCAAATGTTAGAACTAAATAACATTGTCCTATARACCAGTTTGGAATTTATGTTAAAAAAAAAGGAAAGGAAAACACTAAAGAATAGTTGAAAATTATGACTTTGATATCCTTAGGGATTGCAGACCTGTCAGAACTGCGGACACTCACTTTATAGTGTCTCTGTTGTACATCAGTCAAATGAACAAAGTGAATGATTTCTTAAACAGGGTTGTTCTTGCRCTCTTCTAAAGTTAGACATCAGAATCTTKAAGCAAGTTTTTAATCTATGTTTTGAAGTTTTACAGGAAACATTAAGAATAGAATCTTGKCAGTGTGTCATGTCATTTTTGCACAAGATATCAATAAATATGTTTTATTATCTAGATCCAAGGTGTATATGTTTACTTAATAAATGTGGAAATATCTGAAATTATTCTTCAAAAGCAGTTTAAGTRGATMAACAGTTAATGTCTRGTAGTTGTTTCTGTYCATTCCACTGTAGATGCTTGAAGTATGTAATGATGAGTACTAAGAGAATATGAAAAAGTTCTTTAAACCTTTAGTTGACCTTTTAGAGTCAATTAAATCTCTTAGTGTATAAATTGAAGAGAATGTTTATTGTTTTTAACACTGAACTTTTACATAAATGGAATCACCTTCGCAATTTTTTTTTTAAATGACTGATTCTTACCACTTACTGCCTGCCCTTTTCTCTAACGTCAGTAGCAGTATATCTTCCCTGTATTCCCCTTCACAGGAATAAACTTCATGACTCTTAGAAAGACTTACTGAAAAAAAGGGGCTGTCCTGCTTTTGGTGTAACCAACATCACCATCAAATAAAAGTATGGTATTCTGTGGCATAGGAGGCTTAAACAGTTACTTGTCTTTTGCCAACCTTTGCTATCTTRTGCTGTGCACTGTTGGGTGGGGTAACATTCTGCTGTGTAATGTCTYGTGCCCAGGTAATCAGGTTCATCCAAATTGGGGCATTTGCAAACAGGGAACAAAGATACAGGTCTGASTTTGTTGTCATGCTCTTTTCTTTGTTCCTCAGTTTGCTCTGTGGTGTTTGTCATCTGAYGAGTTTTTACCTCTGGAGTTTTGAATTGAAAAAACTTTTGGGTTTTTWWAAAAAAAATTTAGGTCAAGAAAAATCAACCAGAGTAGTTGTGCGTGAGAAACATTTTCAGCCTGATCTTAAATTTATGTGTGAGTCATACAGAGTAACACCAAGACCTGAGCTGTATTGCAAAACCAGCATGAAATTTTCAGACAAAAAGTTATTGTTTCTTTGCRGAAAGAGAATTGAATTGCACTGTTATTGAAAGGATTAGTCTTCAAGGATTATGCAGAAGTGGTGAACATCATAAGCGGACTGTTTGGTTATTGCTTGCAGAAAAYAACTTCTCCATGAATTCAGCTGCTATCTAATGCTCCTCTACATTTATGGTGAACAACCTGTCAACCTTTTATCAGCCAGTGTTCTTTTCAGCTTTTGATTGGCATTTTCTGGAGTTGTTGATTTGTTTTGCATTCCATTTGTGTGTTTTCATCATCTTCATCTACTAGACAAGAATTCAGCATTTGAAATCTCTGGCTTTCTCTTCTCTCTCTTCCATTGTCAAACTAAGTAAACTTCCTGTTTATTACACAAGCTGGTTTTTTTTTAATTACTGGCATTTCAGAAGGTGTTTTAATATGTTTGCTGTTGGTCCCTCAGTCTATCCTGTCAGTGCTCAGAATATGCAAGAGGGGATCTGCCCTCCTGTAGTTAGCCAGTTAAGCATCTGTAGCTTTCCTAGGAGAGGAAGAACCTGTGAAGGATACGTTTTCACACATTGATGGAAATGATGGGSGGTTGTTTTGTTGTGTTAGCACTGCATTAGTAGCTTTGGTTCACTGTAGTTGCCATTCAGAAAGAATGYGAGGGTGTCTCCTTTGTTTTGTGTTGTACCCCACTGTCCTTTCCAGATGTCTCCAAAGCCTTCTTTACAATCTTTTGGAAGGTGATTGTATGAAATCCTTGTTAGGTTGTCTTTATGTGTATGTTTCGATTTGACCAAATCTATATTGTTTGGGCTGCTTTTCTTCTCAAAGAAGTTTTTCTTGCCTATTAGTAGATGAGTTTTAGGATGTGATGGTGGATAAATGTTTTATAGATGAGRTGAACACTTACTTGAAGCTACTTAATGGAAGTTTTGAGCCAGAATCAAACTAAGTTTTTCATTCTCTACTTAATTTTCATATCATGCTACTGCAGTGTGTAAGTGTATGTATTATCTTGATACAAAACTTCAGAAAGGTTTCTTCTCTTTCCTTTGAGCTGAGAGGCAGTGTAGGCAATGCTTTTTCCTTCTTTGTGGATTCTGCTGGTTTTAGTATTGATTTTGCAAACTTGTGTAGCTCTGCATTGCTGTATCCAGGTTGTCTGTATTTAAATAATGTGCATCTCAGGAGCCATCCTCAGTGGGTTGAGAGCAAAATGTTTTGACGTGAGCATAAGTATTTCTCTGCTTATGCCTTRCGGGCAGAGCTGTTGAGCATCTGCAGTTCTTTGCAGCTCAGAGAGCTGATAACGCACAAGGGCTCAGCTTGGGAGCTGCTAAGTAAAGAGAATTCTCAGTCATCTGATAAAGCCATAAGTAGTTTGATCAGCATTATGTAGGAGATCTGTGCCAAAAGAAACAGCAGGTTGGAAATTTCTGAGTTGGGACACCAAAGTTTATGTTACTTGGGACCATACTGATAACATACACCTGTTTTTTCCATTTCTTATGTTCTTAAGTAAATGATGTGGAATTTTAGAGGAAATAACTGTGTTCACTAAAGGCRTCAATCAGGTTGGATTCAAAGTGTTGTTCATTTTGTGCTTTGGAACTTAAAGGCAAAAAGATAGAGGAGGAAAAAAAGTGCACACTCAAATGGTTGTTAAGTGATCATGCAAATATGCAAGGCAGCAGAAGTAAGTTTGCCATGTTATCTTACAACATTTTCTAATTTTCAAAATCTTAATTTTGCAACCCGATAGTACTACTTTAAAATGGAGGAGGATCTATGTGTAAAATTCTATTCACATGCATCTGAATGCTTCCATAAAACTACCTTCAGTAAAGCAGCTTGGCATCATGGTCCAACCTGATGACATATGTAAGTACTACCATACATGATCTTTGGAGCCAGAGTTTAGTCATTTAATAATCTTTCCTGGACCTTTCTGATTAATTGCTTATTAAATCCACAYGTGCTTTTGCTGTGCAAAAGACTTGTAAAATAGTTCCACAGTTTCATTATATTCTGTAGTAAAAGAGCTTCTTTTTGTTTGCTTTGAGCCTGCTATGTCATGATTTCTGTTAATTCTTACATCATGAGAAATAATGAATAATCGTTTGCTATTTTCCTTCTACATGCCATGAAAGTTTTATAGACCTGTATAATCTTTCCTTATTGCTCTGTCAGTAGCCCTAGTTCTTGTCTTAGCTATGCAGAAAATGTTCCAAGTCACTGATCATTCTTTTCAGCATTTCTGAAACATTTCCAATGCCACAGTATCCTTTTTTTATAAGTTGGTGTGACCAGTCCGTATGTGGCACAGGAGATTTGTGAATACCATACATGTGTATAGTAATGTAGCAGCTTTTTTTTGTAAAGCCTTTTTGCTTTACCACTACAATTCTGTTCACATAATTTAAATTGTTGTCTTTTATGTACAGTGTTTTGCTTTTATTAAATATAGTCTTTTATTGAGGTTCATCTTTTTACTGTTAGTTCACAGGTCTTTATGGAAGGTGTTTTACAGCAGATTTTCACGTCTGTTTCATCCTTTTTTGAAGTCTTGGGGGACTTCCCTACTGGYTACACTACAATTCTATTATGAAAACAGCTTGGTCTTTTTGTCTTCTTTTTAAGTAGTGTATCCATAAAATGAGCTTCCCTCTACTCAAGGATAATTTTGTTTCTTTAGTAGTTTTTTGGTGATAGACCTGATCAGGAATCTTACAGGAAGGTCATTTGTGTTTAATTAGGTAGATCATCCTTACCCCTTTTATCATTAACTCTTAGAAGATCGCAGAAATAGTTGAAGGAGGCAGTTCATCCTCATTACTCATACTTGTCCACAATTGCTCTTAATTATCATTTCACCAGTTGTCTTCTGTCGAAGTATACGCACTTCTCCATAGGCCTGCAGGTCACTTCCCAGATGTGTTTTTTAATCTCAGGGTCCTGTTACTACATTCTGTTCCTCAGGTGCTGATGTACACAGAAGCTGCACACTTCAGTTGGTAGCTTGGAACGTTTGATTTTATTTAGAACTCTGGGGTTCCCTGAGCCTGATGTTTTGCCGCTATTTTACCTTTTTCTTGTACTTGTAACACGTCATTACATTCCAGTTTGAAATAGTTTATGGAGTTTTATTAAGCTACACAGTACCARTTAAAAGAATGTATTGTAGTGATTACTGATTATTATGGCTCATTTATCTTTAGGTGGTGAAAACTGTTGGTCTTCGTGAAGTCTGGTTTTTTGGGCTGCAGTATGTGGACAGCAAAGGCTACTCAACTTGGCTGAAGCTAAATAAAAAGGTAACAATTCCCTCATAGTTAGGCAAGTGTACAGTTTGAATATACTTTATAAGGTTTGTTGATTTAGGATTTTAAGTATGTTTGAGGTATAGCTGGCTTCAAATTTAATTGAAAAATAGCTTGTCATTTGCTTTAAATGACAATATACAGTGTTAAGTTAGATTAGTTATAAAAGAATATGCAAAACTGCATCAATATTTAATTTGAGAAGATAGTTTCCAGTACTGTGGAATGCATGCATGCATTAGGAAARCTTCAGTTCATATGATTGTCCTGTTTTCATGTAGCAAAACATAATAGAATAAATGTTTTAGTTTGGGCRTGTGTACATACAGGAAGTATTTGAACTTCAGGAATTTGTATGCRTACAGCTATATGTCTTACAAGGCAAAAATAATAGGCATCTAAGCTTTAGGTATCTAACAGGTAGATTGTCAAGTAATTTATTTTTTTATCCAAGTGGCATTGAATATCTTGTATCTCCTAGCTACTGGAAACTGGGTCATTTTACTTTAAATTGTATTTATGAATTTGAATGGTTATCTCTTATTTTAATATTGGCTGTCAGATTATTTATTGATGTCACTGTTTAGAATGGAGATACTTGTTYTTTAGTTCAACCTAATCAAGAATACCTTTTTTATCTTCAATATTAGCAGGCAAATTGGGAGAGTTTTAGGAGAAAGTCCCACTGTGGTAAATCCAGTGAGTTAAGCCTGCWAAGGACCAAATGTATCTCCTAGAATTTCATGTGTGTCTTGTTTCATAACACAATTATCATGTAGTACTACAGATTTTTTGTTAATTGTAATGGCTTGCCTCAGGTGGTTAGAGACTGGGATTTATTGCATCAGTTTTGAAAAATACAGAACACATTGCTCTATGAAAACCTTTAGCAAGTTAAGTTGCTGGTACAGGCTGAAGCAGCTGAGGGTGTGCTCATTTTTTTGGCTTTGACTAAGATGATTATTTATCTTTTCTTTAAAACAGCTTGTAACATTTGATTCTGAAATSCATCCAATTAACTGGCTCTCACTTTTAAATTACTATTTACATATTTTCAGTAAATACAGATAAAATCTGATAAAGTATAGATGTGCAGGTAAGATTTTATTAAGGTGAGCACCGCTGTTTAACTTGTGAGATTTATGTGAAATGCTGCGTCTGTAAATAATGCACGACAATAATAAAAAGTGAGCAAAACTTCTAAAACTGACATCTCAAGTGCTGAATATATGTACTTATGCTGGTRTTTAAAAGGTTGTATTTATTATAATCATGGTTTTTTGAGACTTCCTACAAGTCAAGCAAACAGATACATCATTTCAGGTATAGCAAAGAGGTTTTAGTGGGACTTGTAGTGCACATAAAGTTAAATGTGTAATAAAGTGCTTGAGTTGGGATGTATGAGAATTACTTTACTATGAATGTACATTACTGTTTTTGTGTTAAAATTAGTTTAATTTTGAATATTTTTTGCTTTGGTCATAATTGGTGCTACAAGCTGAGAGTAAATGAAATGGAATTCTACATAAAAATGAATTTTTGTTGAAATCTGAAGTAGAGTAAGTCTTAAGATGACATCTGATCTCTTTGCAGGAATCACAATTTTAAAGCTTATCCATTCTAGAAAAATAATGTGAATAAAGGAATTAAGGTTTTTGCACAGGAACAAAGCACATATATTTAGTTCTATAGTTGAAAGACTTTTAAAAGAGTCCAACTTTACACTCACATTGAAGAAATGTGCTACAGTTCTTGCTGAAGAACCCTTGTTAGACTCTAATTTATTACTTCCTGCAAGTCATCCTTGGATATAGTTTTGATCTTTTTAATGACTGTTRCAACTTCTTAGTTTCCAGATCTTTATTATGATAAATACAAATTTCACACAAGCCTACAGAAAAATCTCTTAATCAGCCTTTAAATAGTATTTCAAAATTGTCTGGTTTATTCAAATTGATGTGCTTCTTTGTGCCATGTGAACCTTTCATAGTGGGCTTTTCAGGAAGGACTGGGTTTCAGTGTAGAGGAGCTTAAGAGTTAAGTACTATTTAATAACATTTCATGTACCATTTAGTGCACTTTTTATTTTTCTCTTTRTTCCTCTCCCTCAGGTAACACAGCAAGATGTACGGAAAGAAAATCCATTGCAGTTTAAGTTCAGGGCCAAGTTTTTTCCAGAGGATGTATCTGAAGAATTAATTCAGGAAATAACTCAGAGACTTTTCTTCCTGCAAGTCAAAGAGTCGATCTTAAATGATGAAATATATTGCCCACCAGAAACTGCAGTTCTTCTGGCTTCTTATGCTGTCCAGTCCAAGTATGGGGATTACAGTAAGGAGATCCATAAACTGGGCTACCTAGCCAATGACCGGCTTCTTCCTCAGCGGTGAGTGAGATGGGTTTTGCATCAGCTGCTGTGTATAAACTTAACTAAACACATTTTTATAATAAAACATTAAATGATAACATACATTGAATGATGACTTTCTTAGAGTTCCCCTTTTTGCTAGTAAAATTTGGAGATCCTAATTTAGACTTTTAATAACAAAAAAGCATCACAGCCACAGGTTTCTTCAGACCTATTTTCCTGTCCTGTCCACAAACACCTTCCCAGATYTAGTTAAAAACATTTCTAAAGTACTCCAAAATAATGTAATTTTACTGGAGAMCTGTTTCCGCTAAAGTAAAATCAAAATACTCCAGTATAGATGTAACTAAAATTCATTTGCTACTCTCTCCTTTTCTTCAGTTTCCATGTGTTTGTACACGTAATAATGATTTCCCGAAAGTAAAAGTGTATTTCAAATAAAATATATTGCAGTAAAGTCCTAGCCTGAACAGAAAATTTAGAAACTAAATTGTTGCCACTGGTGTCAAGAATAAACTCTTTTTGTCAGTCACACATATAGTTGGTTAGGGAAAGTAAGCACCAAGATTATAGTTGTGTTTCTTTACATAGCTGAAATGCTGCTCCTGGTGTGTTTGGCATGAAGAGAAGGATAGTAACACAAATGTACAAAGTTAAATAATTTTGTTARTATAGATGAATACATAGTGGTGTGTTGTGGACAAAGATGTGCTTATTAAATATGTTATATTTAGTACCTTGTCAAAGAAATGAGAGCCATGGTGTATTTTAAGGTTTCTTTATATGCTTTGTCTCTTTGGTTTGAAAATTAAACTGGAAGCTCACTCTTTAGCATACCTAAGCTTGAGAATTTTCTAGCAAACAAAAAGGCATTTCAAAGATCTTGAGGAAGTATTGAAAGAAATATTTCTGAAAACATTTCTGATTTTTAAAAATCCTGGCGAAAAGCTTGGGTTTGGCTCTTTGCTTCCAGCTTGTGATGGTGAAGTTTATACTTCTTGTATAGGCTTCCTAGAAAAACATCCTTGGTTGGGAAGTCRGGGAGATGTAAAACTGGCATGACTGAATATGTTCACAAATCTTGGTTTTTGCTCAGTTGTGATGATAATCTGCGAACACTGAAGTGCTTGGGTGCAGCACAAACTCATGTACTAAAGGTGATCGTTTTCAGTAGACAAATGCTCAGATGATTTRTTAATTGTTCTTTAAAACATTTTCTCCAGGAATGCCTGAAATGCTGGTTATCATATGCAYTTGATAGTACTATATTGAAAGTTCTAGTAGGCCAAAATACAATTCCATCATTACAGGCTYTTGTAGATTAAGCATCAAATAGATTTGTGAAGCTGCTTTCCTATGGATTTTATGTATAAAGAAGAAACAAAAAAACCCAAACAAACAAAAAAACCTAAAAACCCAACAACAACAAAGAAAATGCACCTAAAAACCCCGCACCCCATGCACAAAAACAATCYCAACAAGGTTGTCTGCTAACTTGTAGTGTCATACTTTTTCTTTCAAATGACAACAGAATGAAAGCTTGAGTGTATCTTTGTATTTATACCAGGAGATTAATTTACAAGCATTGTCTTTAGAGGATTSTGTAACTGTTCAAAATACTACAATTATGATGTAACTGAAAGTTAAAGTATGCGATGGTCTGACTTTTATATTACAAAGAATATAAAATACCAGGAAAAAAGTGACTTTCAAATTATTTTAGAAATTAACTTGTTGAAAAACAAAGTTAATTTCTGTGTTGAAAATATGAGTAATGGATAGGAAGTCATCCTTAAGTTTATTCAGTTAAAGCATATGTTGTGTTGTGGTAGAAAAGAGGTTAAATTTTTTTGCCATTGTCATTTAATGGCAACAATTTCTATTCCCAGTGTCTTAGAACAGCACAAACTGACAAAAGAACAGTGGGAAGAAAGAATACAGAACTGGCATGAAGAACACAGGGGAATGTTAAGGTAATCATGTTAAAAAAAATGTTCACAATACTTTTCATTGTTATTAGGATGCATTTTGAGATGTGTTAATGTAGAAGATGGCTTTCTTTTACCTTGACTAGGGTGGTTAGTTATGAGAGACTGCCATGAGAGTTGAGTTTCCAGTTAGTTTATTGGTTTGCCTATATGATTTCTGGTAAAGCTGTCAACTGCCTTTGTCCACAGTTGCCTGCGTCTAAAATACATTTAGTATTTCCTTAGCTCTTGGGGCAGAAAGACYGAGTCCAGTGATTGAACTCTCCTTGGACATTAAGGTGTAGTTTTTAAAAGTATCTRAGTCAAGCTATTTCAAAGAGAGTTTTAATTCATAACTAAATTTTACCCCCACTGTTTATTCTGCAGTTCCCTTATTCTTACAATGTACGTATGATTTGTTGTTYATACCAATTTTTCTCCTTCCTCAGGGAAGATTCTATGATGGAATACCTTAAGATAGCACAAGATTTGGAAATGTATGGAGTCAACTATTTTGAAATAAAGAATAAAAAAGGAACTGAATTGTGGCTAGGAGTTGATGCTTTGGGCCTGAATATTTATGAGCATGATGATAAGTAAGTGGATAATTCTCATTTTGCAGTTCTGTCCTAGGAGATACCACCTGATATTATGCACTCCCCACCTTACTGTGCATTCAGTAAGATCTAGCAAAACAGGTTCTTCTAATCTTTGTAAGCGATAGGGAGAGAGACATGTTAACTGCYAGAATGTTTGAATTTTAAAGATTAGGGATGCAAAAGAAGGGAAAGGAAGAGCAGTTCTATGGAAGTTTAAATTTACATTTCTTCATATGAATTACTACAGCTAGGCCATCTTTATATATTTTTTTCTGTACCTTTCACTCAAGACATTCCCTTCAGGATGAAAAGAACATTTTAAAGCTGACAAACATATTTAATGAGAAACATTTGTAAGAACCATGACAAGGATTGTAGTTGGTAGAGTATGAAAGACTTTGGTATTTAAAAGTGAAACCTTTTAGACACCAAAAAAAAATAGTTCAGTTATGTCCTTATAAAGAGATTAAATAATCTGTTCTACTTGAATAGGGATAAAGATGAAATGTAGGAAGTGTGAAARATTTGTAAATTGAACAACAGACTTACTACTAAGTGCTTGTAAAGAAAAAAGTATATCTGATGTCAACAGTGTATTCATAGTGATTTGAAGTTAAACATGATGTGTCAAACTCCACATAGGAACAGTCAACTTTAGATGTATGTACTCTGTAACAAAATTCTGTAAGCCTTAATTGCCATTAGATGGCAATATAACTCCTGAAAGATATTCAAAATGTTCATATCAGATTGAGTTATGAGGCARTTTTTGGTATTTCCTAGCACCTGATAGTTAGCAATCAAATGTTTAAATATTTTCTTATGTTTATAATTAAGAGAATATGAATTAAAAAAACCTTCTGTGCTGACAGAGAMAAATATTTACTGTTATGCAGTTGATGCATACATTGTAACAATTTCCAAACTTAATTTGTTTGTCTTAAGATGCAAGCAAAATAAACTTAACTTGAATTTTGACAGTATAAGAGCACATCTTAAATCTGAGGTAAACAGAAATACAACATGACTGAAAGCTACTTTAATTTCAGTATTTGAAATGTCAATYTCTCGAATTTAAATAGTTACTCTTTTCACTGAAAATAAAATTACCGATACCATATAAAGAATGAGTACATGGTTGTGATGTTTAGTATGTAGGTAATAGTTGTAGAATGAATCACAAATCAAAATTTTTTTTGTTACAATGCCATGTTATTTATTAAAATGTAATTCATTTGATGGAATATTTGTATAAAGAAAAATCTACCAAAACATGCTTGAAATGTTGTTTATGTTTACATTAAAAGATAATGTTGTGAATGCAATATTCTAGATGTAACTAAGCATAATAGTGACAATGGTACAGACATATGCCTTGTTTAATACATTTATATAAAAAGTGCTCATCCTTGCTGCTTCTAATGAGAACTTTTTTTCTCTTTGAAGGCTTACACCCAAAATTGGTTTTCCTTGGAGCGAAATAAGAAACATCTCTTTTAACGACAAAAAATTTGTCATAAAGCCAATTGACAAAAAAGCCCCTGTAAGTAGTGTGGAGAATAGTGTCCTGTGGTATATGAAGAGATTTAAGCCTGCAGGGACTTGCTCTGGCATTAAGGCATGAGTAAATATTGGTGATATTTATTATTTTTACTGATAGAATAGTGACGAGTCAAAAGGAAATGCCAGTTTTGAAATATGGTATGTTTCTTTTCCCTTTTTTCATTCTGTTTGATACACCTAAATTGTTGGGAGTTTTAAGTCAACTAATACTTTATGATGTGTTGAAAAGACAGCAAAAGAGGCTAAATTCTCTGCCTTTTCCCTCCTCTGTTTTTTTTTGCTTTTGTTTTTTTTTTATTACAGCAGTAGTCTCATTTCATGAGGCTTTCTAGGTCAAAAGTCTTCAGAATAGAGTACAGGAATAGTCTTATGTTTTTGGAATTTTAAATAATTTTATGTAAACCAGCTAATTTCTGTAGTATTCTAGGTAGAGTTTYGAATTTATCTTACAAGTTTCTGACAGTTATTACATTTATAGATTATGATGTTCACTTGCTCAAAATGTCAAAATTTTATTTTTTTAAAGTTTTACAAAATTTGTAAGTTTTTATTTAACCAGTGCAAGAATGCAATAATACTTTGAATCTTGCAATAAATGTATTTTTTTAGATTAATGGATATACTGCAATTATTCTTGCTAGGATTTTGTTTTTTATGCTCCCCGTCTGAGAATTAACAAGCGAATTTTGGCACTGTGTATGGGAAATCATGAATTGTACATGAGACGAAGGAAACCCGATACAATTGAAGTGCAACAGATGAAGGCCCAAGCTAGAGAAGAGAAACATCAGAAACAATTGGAAAGGTAATTAACAAACTTCCATGAAACAGAAAAAAATTCTGCCTTTTTAAGAAGTCATAGAATATCGTATATCTTAGAATTCCAGAAAAAAGAGAGCTCCTTTTCTTTCTGCACTATTTAAGCAGGTTTGTGGATTGGCGTGGCTCACCTGTCTTAATAGAAAAACGTATCTTTTTTGAGCATTCAGCACAGTAATAGAAGCTGTACTCTTGTTCCCCCTTACATATTTTGTGAAAGTCTTACTTCTCTGTTGCTTGATCCTTAGGGAATTTTAGACTCTACCGGTGAACCCTTAAAGCAAGTTCCGTGAAGAATGTCCTRGCTTACCTTTTGTGCATTTAAAAATTATTGCTGATATTTCTAGTCAAAATGAAACATCATGCCTAAAATGTTCATGTGATTGTGAATTTACCTGGTTGAACCATAACCAAGGCTATTATCTGTTCTGKTCATAAATTGTTTTTCTCTACAGTATTTTGAAGCAGAAACTGAATTAGAATAATTTAAAATTATGCTTTCTTGCTAGCTGAGTAAACTGAAAAATTTGCTACCATCATCTAAAGATGCCTTTAATATTGGAGGGTAAAAAAAAACCTTGTCGTTATTTTTTTCAGGGCACAATTAGAAAATGAGAAGAAGAAAAGGGAGATTGCAGAAAAGGAAAAGGAAAGAATAGAGCGTGAAAAGGAGGAATTAATGGAACGCTTAAGACAAATTGAGGAGCAAACAATGAAAGCTCAGAAAGGTGAGACCATAGATTTCTTAAATCTGGTGACTGTGTTTAGTTTAGTGGGGTAGTTCAGTTCCACAGTTCTCTCTGTATGTTGGTGTATTTTATTACTTTGTGGGGGGGTTAAGTTTTAYTTTACTAATAGTGGCAAAAATTTAGTGATGTTTTATTTTATATGAGAGATACTGTTTTTCAGTGTTTAAATGATGGTATGCATGCATTTGTATATCTTTTTAATATAAAACCAATTTCTAACATAGCAAAAGTTTTGATACAGTAAAAAGAAAGTTAATGCATACAAAGTTCAACTCAGAATTATGAAATGCCTAAAGTGCTGAAAACCTGGAGTTGGAGGGAGCAGGGAAATCAGGGGAAGATTCAAAGTACTTTCTCTAGGATTTTGTTGAATTTAAATTTCTAAATTTAATTTGGAAACTCCTTTTTCCTTCCTTCTTTCCTATTCCCTTGTAAGATTTGAGAAGTTGAAAATTAGTCTTGTCAGATATTAGTGACAAAACATGTAATTCACCAATCACAATTCTTTGTGTTTAATCACCCTGTAGAATCCCTGTCTCAGTAACTTCCCAGTCCCTCCTCTCCATGTTCTTTTTTTTTCTACTTCAGGTTTGGTTCACATTCATAAAAGTTTTGTTGCTCCTTTCTTTTCTTAACTGTTGGCTTCAAGCATGATAGAGAGAATCACTGATTAAATCTATGCAAATAAATTACATATGCCTGCCACTGCTCTCCCATTCTACTCCTGCATTTTTCAGTCTTTCAATGCAGAACAGGTTGGACACATCCAGACAGGTAGCACACTGACTGCCACGGAATTGTTTAGGGAGAGCTGTTTGGCCCAGGACAAAACAGTATCAGGTTAATTCTGGAGGTTTGACAATACACGTTTTCTCATAACTTGTGAGCATTATAGCCTAATTTCGGATGCAATACATAATGTTCATGTGTTGCTGGTCATTTAAGCCTTCTATTCCCATGTGGAGAAGCCTTTATATAAATGGTTTTATATWTGGTCTGTGTCAGTTTTGTATTCTCCAGCTTCATGGGAAGATTTGTTTCAGTTATGTTTTTAAATAGCTTTGTGTTTTATTTAATTTCTAGGTACTGCATTTGTAGATGCTGTTAATTTAATTTTATAACTGAAGTAGTAGTAGGCCTGGGAAATCAACTGAAGAATAGTAGTGATATGAGACCTCTGTTTCAAACAAGAAGAGCAGAGGTGAAGTATATGTCAGCWTACCTTGGGAGGTGCTTTTATGGCKTTAAAGCTTATGGTGARGGCAAATGGATTGCTGGAAAAAGAGTAGTTGCTTTGGTTTTCTGGTGCAGGCGTCTGTGACAGCTGTACTAGCCAAAACATAGCAGAAATTTTATCATTAGAACCAGCRAAGAGCTTTAGAAAGACTTCTGTTCATAGTCACTTAATTTTTTACATCTGAGGAGGAATGTATTTTGTCTGTGTAAACCTTACCTTGCGGTACTGGTAGATTATTACTTCTTCCTGTTTCACTAAGGGTTCTGCCCTTTAGATTTCATTATTTTGCTAAGCAGGCAGGTAGATGGGTATTATCTCTCCCTTGATTTAAAATTTTTCTCCTCTGAAGCACAGAAAATTTTTCTGACCCTTCCATTTGGTCTTAGGTCATTTTGCTGGAGGCGTGTGCCTAAATTTTCAGCTGCRGTCAATGAATCTGTCAGGCATTTCCATAAAGAAGAAGAGTTTTCTTGCTTTAAGAGAACAATTTAATGTACATAAAATATTCTCATAGTAGGAGTGTGTATATGTACATGTAGTTGGGTGTTCCATTTTATCAGTGAGTTGACAGTTCCTGAAACACTGGGCTGTCAAAACTGTGTGGTGAGATGAAGTGTGTCCAAAGAATGTCTTMAAGTGGGGGGAAATCAGACATGGAACAGAGCTCTGGGTAACGTGCTCAACAGTTTTTCTCAGCTTGAGGAGGTCATGTAAACCTTGGTTAGTATTCTARCTTATTTTGAGCATATTACAGCTGGTATCTGTGATACATAGGAGGAAAAGCTAGGTAYTGATACCTTGTCTGCAAACTTTTCTCTTGGCAGAGCTAGAGGAACAGACTAGAAGAGCTCTAGAACTGGATCAAGAACGGAGGCGTGCAAAAGAGGAAGCAGAACGCCTGGAGAAAGAGCGTCGAGCAGCTGAAGTAGCCAAAACTGCTCTAGCCAAGCAGGCAGCTGATCAGATGAAGAACCAGGAGCAGCTAGTAAGAAGCTTCATTTTTTTTTCCTCACAATAGGGTTCAAATTGAAAAAGATTGTTGAAAATYTAGCTTTTATTCTTGTTTATGTCAAACGAAGAAGTACACTGAAACACAGAAGTATGTGAGATACAGATTGTTGTGGGGACTGTTTTAGAAAATTGCATTGCACTTGCCACTGCTTTGCAAGACAGAAATAGGATCTGGATCTGTAGGAAATTAAAAGAAGATGACCACCTTYAGACTGACAACACTCACTACATTCTCTTTCTAATAGTGTCAGGCTTAGCCAGCTGAGAACAAGAGTAACTTCCTTCTCCAGTCCACTGGGAAGCCTGTTCTCTGAGGCAGGTCTGTTCTGAAGCTTGATGGTGGTGATGGGGAGTTGGTGGCACTGTGGTTTGTTGGGGTTGGCGTTTTTTTTTTTTGTTGCCTTTCCCCTCCCATTTCCAGTATTTGGAGTGTCTTCTCACATTCTGTGTTAGACTACTTATAATTCAAGATTTGTGCACAATAATCAAGAAAGGCATGAAAATTCTAGAAGAAATGATTTCTCAACTATAAATTAACTTTTGATCTTCTGTGAACTTTGCGCACAATTCTAATAGCAAGATTTAGCTTAATRGTACTGAGATTATGATCCAGAATCGTAATCTTAATGATAGTACCAGCGAAGTTTTATTAGACTGTTTATTTAAACAGCCTGAAATGCTAGTTTGTAGCTGAAATGTTAGTTTGTAGCTACTGCTTGCTGTTTCCCAGTGCAAAAGRTAAATATTTTTTTTCTGGACTTACCTCCATTAGGCAATGGTATTCTGAGTCATTCCCCATCATGTATGCTTGAAATTTATATTTTTCACAGAGAAGTGATGGATGGTAACTAACTCTTTTCAAGTTGGATAATAGCAAAGGCTCTGCTTTCTTCCACTGCTAGCCAGAGTGATWCCAAATTAAAACTTCTGCTTTGTTCTTTTGTTTGTGTCAGGCAGCAGAAATTGCTGAATTCACAGCCAAGATTGCACTTCTAGAGGAGGCCAAGAAAAAGAAAGAAGAGGAAGCTTCAGAATGGCAGCACAAAGTAATGAGCCCACGCTGTGTGAAGTCAGAACTTCAAAGACACTAAGGGAGATGAGTGCGGAAATCTCACTGGAAGTTCATAGTGTCAGATCTCTCTCTTTCCCTTAGGCTTCAGAAAAGTCTTTCTTAAAGGTTTTTGTCCTTCAGTCTGCTGAAGCCAGCCTATGTTCTGTTCTCRTTTCTTGATATTACGTAGTCATGAAGGGGGGGAAATTCTCATCACAAAGGTATGGTCAAAGATTAGAAATGGCTTCCTTTTGTATGSTGATGAACTAGATTACAGCTTTGTGTTGAAGAAGAAAATGACTCARGGGAGATGTATAAAATCATGAGTTTTGGTGGAAGGATGAACCAAAACAATTAACAAAGGCACATGAAATGCAGCTGTGCAAAAATTTAAAGCAAAGTAGTATTTCTTCATAAAATCTAAGTAMTGTGAATACTTACTGTATGCATGGGTTCCAAAAAGGTTTGAACAAATTTTCTTAAGTTCTGGTTTAGTATGAAATTTGAAGACATCACCTTTGATCTAGGAAATCCTTGAGCCTTAAATTTCAGGAGGCAAAGAAAAATGGAAAACCATCAGTAGGATTGCCTTATTCTTTCATTCTTCTCTTGTCTACTACTGAAAATAGTTGGGACTCCAGTACAGCTTATTTTGAGCCATATCTGTTTTTGGCTCTGTATCTCTATTTGACARTTTTCAATGTGTAAGCTAGTCATGTCAGTTACAAAGGATAGTTTCCATGTGTCTGAGAACATTTCAAATATTTTTATTTTTMTGACTCTTGATTACTCATTTAAAAAGATGCTAAGTACTATTTACTGTATTTAGGCTTTTGCAGCCCAAGAGGACTTGGAAAAGACCAAAGAAGAACTGAAATCTGTGATGTCTGCTCCTCCTCCACCTCCACCCCCACCAGTTATTCCCCCAACAGAGAATGAACATGATGAACATGATGAGAACAATGCTGAAGCCAGTGCAGAACTGGCTTCCGATGGTGTCATGAATCACAGGAGTGAGGAAGAACGGGTAACAGAAACACAGAAAAATGAACGTGTTAAGAAACAGCTCCAGGTAATGAAGATTTATAGTTGTATCAACATAAAGCAGGCTTTGGGTTTTCATTCTTTCTTTGCCAGAAATTTCACTCGTGTTATGGTCTGCCAAGGAAACAGCCTTTTTATCATTTATTAGGTGTATTACTAATTTACCAACCAATATTGGTCATGATGTTCTAGTGCTGGAATATATAGAAAGATTGGATGTAAGAYTGTGCTTTACAGCTTGAAGGTGTAAGTATGCTGTTGCATTGGCCAATAAACATTTATAATAACTGTATAATTTCCAGGACACTGGATGTTAAAACATAATACTTTCCTTTCTCAATACTGAAACTCAGTAAGTGGTATGAGCAGATGCTTGCTTAGTAGTATTTGTGTTTGTTTGCAGTCACTCACAGGTGTTGTAAATGCAAAAACTCAATTACACCCATTTTGGATTACTCTTACTTCCCTGAAACTGAAAATCCCTTCCAGACTTAAGTCTTACCTCTCAAAGTATAATAATCATAGTAATTAGTGTTAGTGGTAACATTTTCCCTGGTTATGCAATGTTTATTTGGGAAGAAAACAGAAGAAATGGAAAGCTGCTACTTTGTCTGGCAGCATTATCTTGGTAGTCTGTGTGTGTGTGTGGTGTTCTTGCTTGGTTAGTCAGTGAACGGAATCAGGGAGATAAGTCTTTAGTCAAGGAAAATTTGAAAAATAAGGTGATTTTCCTGCTTTACCTGCTGGTCCATTTTGTCTTGGATTGTATGGTGTATGAGGCTTTTTTGTTTTTATAGTTTGATGCTTACACTTACTTAAGGAAAGAATMCTATGCTCTCCTTATCTTTACTTCTGCATTCCTTCTGATAGACCTCACAACTTGAGTTACTGAGCAGCACAAGAAGCACTTCATAGGTTGGCATTCAAGAAATTCATATCCAAATTGCAGAACAGTTGTTATCAGAAACTCCAGAATCGTTAAAGGATTAGTCAAAGCACTTAAATGCAAATATTTTATTCAACAGGCTTTAAGTTCAGAGTTGGCTCAAGCCAGAGATGAAACCAAGAAAACACAAAATGATGTCCTTCATGCTGAGAATGTTAAAGCGGGCCGCGATAAGTACAAGACTCTCCGGCAAATCCGACAAGGCAATACAAAGCAGCGTATTGATGAGTTTGAAGCAATGTGAGAGCTGGTATTTTGCATATATGTTCCTCGTAAAGCTGAACCACCAACAGAGAAAAAAAGCAGGCCTTTGCAGATTTGATGGATTGCACCCCACTTTGCCAAAGCACTTAATACCAGGTTGACTACAGTGACAAGAAGAAAATTTAGGGGAAGCTATTCAACAGTAAGGCAGTCTGTTAACCCTAGGTTTTGGGTGGCGGGACGGTGTGGAGGTTAATAGCAGGTTTTTCCCCATTGTGTTTTCAGTTTGTTTGTTTGAGTTCTTTTCCCCTTTGGAAACAGATGTGAAGTATAYAATGATTAAGAAGTGTATATATTGCCTAAACATTAAAAAATAGAAGGAAGAATGGAACTGAACCTAAACTGGATAGGTACTATTTCACTGTGAAGTTTGAAATCAGTTTTCAATGTAGCTACCCCATTAAGAGTTTGATATTGCTCACTTTCAGTTTTGGTTGTTCTTTTCTTGTTTTGTTTTGCGGGTTTTTGTGTTTGTTTTGTTTTCTCCCAAGTGAAATTCTTTGGTGTTTCATGTCCTGTCATCATTGATGGTTTTCTTTGCCTACCTGTTCACAAAGGTCTGGATAGCAGGTGGTAGTTCCAGGAAATGTTTTTACATGGAACACTACCTGTGGGCAGCACATGGCTGCTGATAGGCTTGACTAAGTATTGCTTTTCCTAGCTGATTCTTTTAGATGCGCAAAATGTTCTAATGCAGCAAAGAGGGAAAAAAATAAAGTTTAATGTGCTATTTGCTTGTAATTATTTTATTTGCAGTAGAGAGACCTGGACCTTTCTGGCAAGGGAGCATATGAAAACATCAGTCCCAGGGAGGGGACAGTATCCTACCTCACTACTATGTACATGATGACTGGTCCTTCAAACACCATGAAAAAAGCTGTTTAAATTGGCTATCACTACATGGTGATACCATAGATTTCTAGGAGCCCTTACTCCTAAGATTTTATTTTACTTTATGATGGATTTATAGTGCTAAATACTGTCTAACTGCCTTCTGTTGAGTTTAAATTGTAAAAACGTCTGTTGTGTTTTAAAGCTGTAACCTGTCACTGGTATACTATATTCTGGGAAGGGTGTAGAATGTGCRTGTCAGTCAGTTTGGGTTTCAAATAACAAATTGAAACTTCCCAGAATTTGAGTAAAAGTGTTTGTAGCTTCAGTTTTCAGTGAAGCTAATATTGTAATTGTCATATCTGATGTCAGATCATTAAATCCTTTCCCTCTTGAAAAGGAAACCTGCTTTTTTGAGAAATTTGCTTAGAAATTGAACTTTAGTAATAACTTTAAGTTAAGGTGGACTGGAGTTACTGCTTATGTTAGAGTAYCCTAGTAAATATCTACTGTGGAGGAACCTAGGTTTCTCTGCGGATGGTTCAGCTTCTTTTCTGTTTGATATTATGCACTCATAAATTTACACTTATCTATTAAAATTTGCCATTTTATTAAACATTTTTTTCATGCACAATAGGTTTAAATTTCTTATGAACAGTCCAACTAAGTTTTTTTTATTTTGCAGAGTAAAAGTTTGGCTATGTGGGGTGACATCATGAAAATTAAATAAAGATACCTTAATATATTTTTGGTTTGTGGGGCTAAACATATCGGCTTAACCTCGAAGACTGATGTGCAGYTGCTGTGCACATGCTTCAAAATGCTGCTTGGTGGAAGTTGGTGTTTCAACTTGCAATGCATTATAAGAACAGTTTTTGTTTCACAGGCTTCATACACTGAAGCTTAAGCAAATTTCCAAAGTATTTTGAACAGTTTGCCATAGCAGGTGAAATACTGTGCTTCCAGTGAGTTTTCATTTTCCCTGAAAAGTGTGCACTAACACTGATCCATCAGTTTCAGTGTTGGGGAAAAACACCAGTAAAGATTGTTGTTCATAAATCTACAACATGTAGAGTAGGGCTAAATGGATTAGATCCATTTATAAAGGCGTGTGATTTTTTTTTTTTAATCTAAACAACCAGGAATAACCATTTGTAATATGGATTTAAACAATGAACAAGGTGGTAATAGCTGCTGTCACCAGCAGCTGGGAACACTTACTGGTGCAGAAATACTAAGAATACATTTAATGATTACTTGGTGAAGTAATTTTCCACAATCTTTTTCCTTTAGTACCATGTTTTGTGTTGTACAATTAAGCTACAATTACATCTACTATTTTGGATAACATTCATTGGTTAACAATAAAGAGATACAGTTAATTTCTTTGAGGTCCACTGTTGTTATTTAATGCCCTTTTTTTCTSACAGCTTTACTGAGCACACTCCAATGGCCTGTCTTTCTAGAGCAGTGCAGAAATTCTGATTATCTTTTGGTTTCACACTCTGGTCAGAATGAAATTTTAAGAAAAATCAAATTGTATCCCTAGRAAATGGTATTTTGCTTAAGAAATTAGCACATACAGTTAGGAGGAAGCACTGGTGTTCTTTGATTCAAAACAGGATGTGAATCATCACAGCAGRTTTGCTCTCTTGAGACCACAGGGTAATGTGAGAACTTTCAATCACTGCCTACATAATGCTTTGCCCCATGTTAAGTGAAATTTAGTTTARTGGGTCAATACCTTAATCATTGAGAAACCTTGATGTGGGGTTTTTTTTTTGATACAGCACCTTAGAGTGGACAGTGCTGTCAAATACATGCATGGCCATATGTTTTAAACAAGGGTATGTTAATGGGATTTTATGGGATATTAGACAGTTTCATCTGTCTAATACACTTGAAACAGGAACAGTCCTATGTAAATAGGTGTACAAATAATCTGCTAAGATGTTCTCACATAAATTAGACCTCCTCTCAGGTGGCATTCCATTCTCTTGTATTTGTTTGGCCTTGCRCTCAGTACAAGCACGTGACCCTTTCTGGTGCTCAATAGGGCAGAATTGTCATGAGGAATTAAAATGTGTGCTTGATACTTGTACTTATGCATATTTCTAGTTTTATACTTCTCTCTTGTTGGAGTCCCTCCTGCTGAAGCCTTAGATCAGGTCTCACACTTGTTAGAAAGCTTCTGCATTAGGTATGTAGCTTCATAATATTGTGCTTGAAAGAGGAGGTTAAGTGTTTTGGAAGATAATTTTTTCAAAAATATGTCTTGAGGTGGAGGGAAGAAGAAGACAAACAGTGCTACTATTTACAGTCTGTTAAAATCAAACAGAATGCCTTGTTGTGCAAGAAGATACTCTGTCTTCTTGAAGTAGTCCTTTCTCCATATCAAAACCTACATTTTCTGTCACTTGTACCAGTTTGGAAAGCATTATTGTGCTTTTGTTTTTTTCTTAAAACATGTTCTCTAGAGCTTTGAGCAYCTATGAGRAAAATAGAGGTKTGTTCTAAATAAWKTWTYTYMA